AGAGCGGGAGGCGGAGGGGGGGGGGTGTGCGTGTGTGGTGTGTGCGTGCGGGGGGGAGCGCTTCCCGCCCCGCGCCTGAAAACCTCTCTGACAAGTGGCAAAGCGTTAGCAGAGCACGCTGCTCCCTCCGAAGGAAGGGCGGGTGGAAGCCGCGGGGGCTCGCCCCCCGCACCCAGCCCTGCTGCCGGCTTTCGGCTCCTCGCCCCCCGCCCCCCCGCCCCTGCTGCGGGGCTGAGTCGCGACCCGCTGCCGGGCAGCGTGCGGTGCGGGCTGCGGTGCGCGCCGCCGCTTCGCCTGGAAAGTGTGTGAGCCGGCCGCGGGCTTTTCTTCTACTTGCCGCGTTTATTTTTATTTTTTTTAAACCATTTTTTCTGCGTTTTCCTTATTTATCCTCTCGCACTTTGTTGTCACTGCTTTTGTTGCCGCTGTTTGTAAACTAATTGCCTCCATGGGGGGCGGAGGAAAGGAAATCAAAGCTGCCGCAGCTGAAGGGTGTAAAAGCATGCTGGGGAAGAGCCGAGGAGCCGCAGGACGGGATGGCAGCGGGAAGCCCGGCTGCGGCGGGGACCGCTGCCCGCGGCGGGCCGGGCCGTGCGGCTCGGCGCTGGCGGCTCTCCTCTCGGCGCTGGCGGCGGCCTCCTGCGTCTACCTGGGGGTGCGGACCAGCGACCTCCAGGCCAGGGTCGCGGCCATCGAGGGCGCCCGAGGGGGCTTCTCTGCCGCCGCCCCGCTCCCGCCGCTGCCCGGCTTTTCCCTGGAGCAGCTGAACGCGATGATGCAGGAGAAAGTGGAGCGACTTCTCGCCCAGGTGTGCGGGACGGGGGTGGCCGCTCGCCGCCGCCGCGTGTGCGCGGGACGGGGACGGGGCATGATACGGCGTGCGGGGCGACGGGAGGCCGGCTGAGGCGATGAGGGGGGCGGCCGGCCGGCCGGAGCAGCCCCGCGGGCGGGAGGTGAGGGAGAAGCGGGGAAAGTGAGCCCGCATCCCCGGGCGGCGGCGGGGCCTGAGGCGAGGGCCGGGGGCACCCCCAGCTGCCGGGACGGGCGGGTTGGGGGGGTTCGCGGGTGTCCCCCGGGCGGACGCCACCGACGCTTTTCGCGTCTGTTGTGTTTTTTTTTTTTTTTTTTTTTTTAAAAAAAAAAGCGGCGGAGGGGGCAGTTGCGGCGGAGGTGGGAGCGAGCCGGTGGCGTCGGGCTTGTTTTTGTTGTTGTGGGGGTGGAGAAGTCAGCGAGACACCTTGGGTCGAGTCCAAGCGAAGAAGTCATCGCTGGTTGCGCAGCCTATGGAAGCGCCGTCAATCGCGGTTTGCGTCCGCGCCGGTCGGGAGCGCGGGCGGCGGCGGCGTGAGCCCCCCCCCCCCCCCGGGGGCCCTCACGTTGCTTCTCTCGCCCGCAGAAATCCTACGAGCACTTGGCAAAAATACGAGTAGCGAGAGAAGCGCCTCCAGAGTGCAACTGCCCACCAGGTAACGGACACGGCTTGGAAATCTCCTCTCTGAGGCTTGCGACTCGGGGGTGGGGGGTGTATGTTGGTATCCTGTGTTTTCCAAATACACCCGAGTCGGATCCGGGGGATGCCTCTTCAATCAACAGCTGTACCTGGGGTGGAAAAGGTGTAAAGCCCAGAATCATCTGTTTCCACTGTGGCACTGGATCGAAGTTGATGCTAGTTAAAAACCCCGGTTAGGCTGGGTGAAGCCAAACAGTAACACTTACGAAGAAGTTAACGATCTACCCTAGCAAGAAGAAATGTATTCTCTCTTAGACGGGGTAGTACTGAATCAAGGCATTGTGTGCTCAGCTTGGGAAGTGGAACAAAAGTTCCTAGTAAAATATCAAACAATTTATAACATGGATTGAAATAGGTGGAGAGTCCGTTGCAAGTTAGCAGTAATGTATACAAGAGCTTTTCAGTCTCATTTTTCTGTAGTCTTGGATGAAAGCAGTTCCCCTAGGAAGGGATTGCAGGTTTTATACAGAGGGTTCAAAACTGTGTGTGTTTATGTAACCAGTGATGTTGCCTGACTTTGGAAACGGGGCCTCCTAATACTGGGTTCGGTTGCTCATGCACACACAATGCAGTGTTTCCTTTGTTTTTCATGCTGCTTTTTGACAATCTGATAACTGTCAATATTATTTTACCTTTATAAACTTCTGCTGATATATACCCAAGTTCAAATGGCGTCTTAAAAGATAAGAAAATAATGCTAGTGTTTCACAGGGTGAGGTAGGAATTCCAGCATCCTCCATGTAATGAAGCACACCAGACACACACTGTGTTTTACGTGTCCTGCCACTCTGTATGAATAAGACATCTCCTTTACAGGTGGAATATCGCCTGTCAACGAGACTTAAGCTGATGATGTTTGCCAATAGGATGTGTGATAGTACCGTGTATATAAGGAAGGAGCTCTTCTATTTTAGGGTTTAATTCTTGCCAAACTCATCGGTCGGAAAGGACTACCGAATCTTGGTGTTAAAACTGACTACAGTGGTTGGTACAGTGTTTTGCTGATGATACAATTGAGCGCGGAGTATTTACTGGCTCATATAGGAGTTACCATGGCTAGCATGAAAAGGATGACATATATGACTAGGACCGTTTTAAAAGAGTACTTAGAATTACTCAACTGCCAGCTAGTTTTGGTAAAGGAACACTGGTTTCCTGCTGTACTATATATAGTTTTTTCCTTTAAGGCTAACACGAGCATACAGTGTTGATCTTATTCTCTCTGTTGCTTAACTGCAATAAATTACAAGATTCAAGTTTGTGCACTAAAAAGGAGGGTTGCTTGTCATATTGTATGCAAAGATGTGTTCTGTGAGCCTGAAACATTGTTGAATTTGATGCCAAGCTCTCTCCCTTTTCCTTTTCCTTGTTTAAATTCATCTGTTACAATGGTTTCTCTTACTGTTTTCATACTAAAGATCAGTATCTACTTTTTCACAGTTGATGTTATGTGCTGCTTTACTTCCCCACTACCACTAGAGCTCCACATTATACCAATTTTTATCTGACCTTTTTTCTTAAGAAGTATCCTTTATCTATTTGATAATAAGCAACAGAATATTTCTCACACGCGTTGTAAAAATCCTCGTTAGATGAAAGTCAAAATAAAGTGATCTGGGAAACATTTTCAAGGGAGCAAGATTCATAAGATCAGGAAAACTCATATGAATTGTTATAAAATAAAAAAAAAAATAAATTGCAGAGAGGACTAGCTGGTATGGGGATTAGAAATGTGATAGGGAGCTTTTCACCTCTGGGTAGCTATTTCAGTTTGGAAGCAAGTTTTGTAGTGACTGAAGGATGTTGCCATGCGATAGACTCATTTTGGACCGCTTAAAATGAGATGATGCTCTCATGCTTGTTGCCGGTGGACAGGTGCCTACCTCAAAATGGCATCGTCTTGGGACCCTTGTCTGAGAGAACAAGGGCTGAGTGGCACCACCCCCCGAGTACTGCGCCTTCTGAACAGCAGGCGTTAGGCAGAGCAGGAGGGGATAGAGTGAATAAATTGTTGTTTCTTCATTTGGTTCACTTCGTTCGTTAGAATTCCTTTTTGACTGGACAGGATAGGCTTTTATTTTCATCCTTAATGCTGCTATTACAAATTTGGACTACTGTGGCATTTGAGTTAATAGGAAAAGTGTCATGGTAACTCAGCGGTTTTTCTGTTGCCTGCTATTTGTGAAGCCAAAGAGTAAATTGCCTCTCTACTTCCCCACATGGTTCCCTTTTGCTGCTTTATTCTGCTCAGCTTCTGCGTTTCCTCCCTGGGTTTCTGTAATAATAAAATACATGTCTGTTAGAGATGACTTTGGAAGGCCTTCGTGGTACAGAGGTGATTTTTGAAACACCCCTATGCTGCGAGAAAAGGCTGCCGCCAAATGGCCACCAAAGCAGTTTCCATCATCCTGCTCTTTAAAGAGAAATAAAGATTATTCAAAACTAGGTTACATTGTTCTCTACCAAAAGAAGAGAGGGAAATTCAATCTGCAGACCGGAGGGTGAGAACGTGGCCTCTAGTTTAGGATTAAAGTTATGCAACTGGTGTAGATCTCATTAGCTTGAGATGTTCATCCCCTTGTGGCTCTTCATGGTAGGAACTCGCACGTTCAAAGGAAATCGGGTTTGAATGGCTCGGATACCAAAGGCAGCCAGATTCACAACTGCTCATAGCTTGCAGAGCTGTCCACATGTAGCTCCTTTTAATTCAACCATAGCCTTGGACGTTGTCTAGAGTGAAGAGTGGTCACGTTTCTCTTTAAAAACTTTGCTTTCACTAAATGTGGTTTTTCTAATTATTGTTTTCTTATAAAAGAAACACAGCGTGGATTAGAGTTTTGATTTTAATTCTGCAAGACTAAAACCAGATACCAAAGATTTTGTAAATATTTTTAAAATGACAATAGCAGGCATTCCTTCTCCTCTTAAAGCAGAGTAATAAAGTTTGAAAAGTAAATGCATGCTGACATTCCTCTTAAATTACCTCAGCTCTAACAAGAGTACCAGTTTAAATCCCATGCTTGCAACTAGTGCTGCAGTTCCTGCTGGCAGTTAGCCTTCTGCATGTGGGACTGGGGGGCAAATTGAGTGGCTAAAATTATTTTAAGCGTAATAAATTAATTTTCCTTTGCCAGATTTATTATTTATTGTAAATTAATGTTTCTCTACTGTAAAAGATGAACAAAACCTGTAGGTGTGTAGGTAATTCTTTCATACGTTTGAATCTTCCTTTAAATGGCTGTGGGAGCATAATCAGCTTTTATGAGGAACAGTCAAGCACAGTGCTGGATACTTCTTGCCAAGTGCCAAGAATTATACCACTGTGGAAAGAGTAACACGTGCAGAAAGCACAGGGATACTCCCAATCCAATAGAGTTTTAAGAAAGCCTTAAGTTTTTCTGGATTCTTCAGTCTTTCCTCTTCCAGGAAGCATTCACGTGTATTCCTAGGACCTGTAGACTTTGACAGAAATTAACACATGCTTGCATGTTTTAGTGAATTGATCCTTTATGTATTGTAAGGGTCAAGTTCCGACATTTGTGGTCATGTGCCATGATGTCTCATTCTGTAAGTGGTCCTCAGAGCCCACTCCTGGAGTCAGATGGTGTTGGCAGGAGTAGGAGTCAAGTCTATTAGTACCAGAAAGTTCAAACTTGGTCAGCAGGAAGGCTACCAAGTGATTGTGTATGGTTTTACATGTCCCTTTTGGCCAGTTTTGGGAAGCAATTACTCTTTTTCTTCCTTCTCTTTTAAGGAAGACCTTTATAATGAATTTATTCTTTCAAAAAAAAAAAAAAAGAGCGAACAGTGTTATGTAAGTAGGAATGGCTATATGCCGTACATGTCTTTAATTCTGCGTTGACAAAGGATAGACTGCGTAACATAGAAATGTTTTTTTTTTAACTGTTACGACACACTGTGTATGTATGTTCACTATAGCTTGCACATAAAATGATGGGATTTGCAGGTTTTAGTGTGTGCTTGGGTTTTTTTGGTTTTGTTTTTCCTTATTTTTCTCCCCAGAACATCAGCTAAACATCATTTATGGGTACCTGGCAAAGTTGACCGAACAAATTTGCTTTTGTTTTTCTTTTGTGCCACAGGCAATGTTCCTTCCTTTGCTCTTTCACTTGTTTTTTTTTTTTTTTCCCATCAATAAACTTGCATCCTTCTTCCCCTTGTGTTCAGATACCTGTGGCTTCAAACCCTTTCCAGGCATGGACACTGTCATCATTCTTCTTTCTTAGCCAGCTATTTTGTGCTGGTTTTTTAATCATGTCATCTTGATTCTCTGCTCCAGTCTTAAAGAGCTTTATGGTTTGGCATTTGAAGTACCTCCTATTTCACTACGCAATTTGCTGCGATCAGGTTATAAAGCTTGTTTCATTGGAGTTGTGTGTATATAAACCTGTTCATTCAGCAGATGAAATGCCATAGGCCAAGGGTTTTTTGGGAGGATAGAGAATACCAGCTGGTCTTATTCTGGTTATAGTAATTCTAGTGGGAAAACTCTGTTCTACAGCGACAGTTCTTCAGTAAGATGATGAGTCTGCTGTATGTATTTTGGTAGCAGCATGGATGGCAAAATGCAATGTATTTTCTTAGCATCACAGTACTGTTTTTGTCTTCTTAAACACCTAATGTTTGTTTTGACATGCAGTGGAAGTACCATTTAGGCACTCTTTCTTATTTCCACATGTTCCATAAGGACTGTTTCCTGGAGCATTTCAATTAGCGAGGCTGAAAGAATGGAGGAGAAATCAATTTTGGGGATTAAAAGAATCCCAAAATAGATATCAGCAGGGTATTACTTTATTTTTTTTTTTTTTAATTATGATTATAGTGAAGCAGTTCTGTAAAGACTGGAGGTAAAGAAAAGAGGAGCTGACTTCAGTGTTTACCAATAGAGAGACCCAAAAGAAAATATAGAGAGATATAGAAAGTATCCAAAGTGTT